TTCCCTCTTCAGTAAGTCCATCATCCACATCCAGAACTATGCTAAACCAGTCAATAGGCTAATCCTGTACCACACACCCATGATCCAGTCACTCCCCAAAGCCCCACCTATGAGCACTTGAGGGACATGACGGGGGTGGGGTCTAGATATAAGCCATAACAGTGACCAAGTAATGTAAACTATATTATCACGGTAAAAAGTCTAATACTATGAGTAAAGCAACTGGCTTGGTTTTAAAAATGGAGATGGAGTCCAAGAATCCCTATTTTATCTAGAGAGATCTAGAATAACAGTTCATTTTTAAAGCATTAACTATGAAGCACTCCTTATATTAACCTCTTAACCTATGTTAACCTTTTTATTCTTTAGATTTAGCCTTCATCCTCAACCTGTGAAGTGTCTGTCTGTAAGTCAGACATGACATTGCAATTAAGAAGTTTCTCCAACATTACATAACCAGCCAATGATGGAGCCAGGGTTTGAATTCAGGCTATCTGGCCCCAGAACCTGTTTTATCATTCCCAGGCACAATATATACTTTCCAAGAGCATTTCCTTCATCCACTGTATAACTCCATCTAGAAGATGGTAAAATGAGTAATTCCAGGAATCTGAAGAGAAAAATCATTTAGATAGCCTGGGATCTCTCCATGGTGTTGAAACTCTTAGCGTCCTCTAGAGCAGTAGTGGCAAACCTATGGCACGCAAGGTGCAGTTGGCATGCAAGTCACGTGTGTGTATGTGTTGCTTTTTCTAAACTAAAACCTCAGTATTCAGATTTAATTGTAGTGTTGGTAGGGTGAGGGGAGGAAGGATCCCTAGGCTTAGTGTAAGGAGAACTGAGATCTTGTCTGGAATTCTCCAAATTCACAGTGTAATCATCTGTCTAGAGAAGATGCACAGACAGACGATTGAAGGATTCATGCCACAAACACTCCTTGAGTGTCTGCCTTGAGCAATGAGCTGGATCAGGCCCACAGCAGGAATGAGGTGTGGCTTCATGAGGGCATCACACCCAAGAGTAGGAGAGGACAGGCAGGGACAGCATCACAGTTAGAGGAGACCTGAACAACAGAGAGAAGGACGATGCTGGAAGGGGCAGCAGGAGGCACCTTGTGGGAAAGGGCATAGAGTGGGGCCCTGAGTGTCTGAGGTGGTACAGGAGGTACAGGGTATTCCAGGGAGAACAAAAGTCTTGGGTTGAGAATTTAGGGTCCAGAGTGCTTGGGTCTGTCATTCTGGGTTCAGGGATTTCTTGTTCTCTGTTCTAGATATCATGTCTTTGGGCTCTGCGTGCCTGGGTTTGGAATTATGTGATTCAGAGGTTTCTACTTCTAGGTTCTATGGTTCAAAGTTTTATAATCTATAGTTCTGGGGCTAGGACTCTACACTCTTGATTTCGGGATGTATGACCCTGTACTCTGGGTTCTGGGTTTTATGGTTATGAGTTCTGTGTCCTCTTCATTTCTCTGCAACTCCCAAGGCAGGTGATGGGGAAAAGCAGAGGGTCCACACCCCCATCTCCTCTGAAGGGCCCCCACCAGATGCCACCTGTCAGAGAGAGAGCCCCTTCTCCACGCCTCCCCACCTTCTGACACAGTCTTCCTCTTCTGGTCCTAGTGAGCGGCCTCACAGCGGTTGGGGGACGGCTGAGAAGGAGTATGGTTAGAAGGACCCCCCTCTGCAAGCCTGAAAAGGGCTATCTTCACCTCTGCCTCCCCAGGTCACAGATGGCCCAGACAGGGAGCTGTTCTCAGCAAATACGTTCCCTGTCCTGAAAGAACCCGAGGGCTTCATGGACCCTCACAGACCCTGCACAGTCTGAGGGTTCATCCTGCTGGATAAGCATCGCTCAGCCCCAGCCAACCCAACCCAACCCCACTCTGGCTGCTTTTCCACCCTTCTCGAGATGAAGAGCAGGGATAACACCACCACTGCCTCCATTCTACCTGGGCCAAGTGATTAGATAGGAACCAGTGAGGTCACTACCACTCCTGTCCCAGCACACAAGCATGCGTGCACGCTCACACACACACACACACACACACACACACAAATGAGGGAGAGTCTATGAGGCATGAGAGAAATAGGACACTTTGGGGCTCAAGGACAGATGTGTGCATCTATGTCAGGGGTGGGTGTGCGTGAGTGTGACTGTGTGTGTGCAGAGGCCTGAAGGTGGGACTGTGGCTGTCCCCAGCATGATGGTGGCATTCCTCCGGAACTTGTGCCTACCTGGCTCAGTGGGGCCCTGAGGCCCCACCCTGTCCTGGTTACAGTTTGGCCCTTTCCCCAGGTGCTGCCCCACCCTGTGGAACTCTTGGCCAGTGTGTGTGTGTGCAGAACAGATGGCACACTCTTCTGTATTTGGTTTTTAGATTATGGAACCAAAAAAAATTAAATTTAAGCTCTTTGCAGGGAGGTTAATTTATCCTAATCACTCACCCTGCTGCACAGATTCCAACTTCATTACTTCTAATTAGATTAATGAGAGGGAGAAGGATTTCTTTTCTCTGGGAATATGAATGGACTTGGAGGCAGCTCAGTGTCTCGGAGCCAGCCTGAGACCTGGCAGATGAGAGTCTGTCCTCTGAGCGGTAGAAGGACTTGGCCAAGGTCACGCTGCAAGCTAGTTGAACCCAGGTGTGCCCAACGGAGCTCTCAGCCATCGTGGGACTGACAGGAGAGCTCCCCTTCTCCCCCACCCCAGGCAGGCGCTCAGTGCCGCAGTCTCCCTAGGTCGCAGCAGAGGGGAGGGACAGAGAGACCTGCAGCTTTGGAGGTCAAGGTGTGGCACCTCCAGTGAACGGTGAGCTGGACCGCTGGACAGTCCTCCTGTCCCTGTCGAACTGAAGATTCTTTCTATGTCCTGATTCACGGAGTCCCTTTTGCCATACACAGGGAAGGGGGATGATTTTGGGGAACCGGAGTTAGCAAAATACCAGGGTGTTTGGAAGGACTGTGAAGTTGCTGGCCAGAGAGACGTGGGGAGGCACCTAGCCCTCTCCCCTGACTCACCCCAGGCCTCTGAGGTTGACATCTATGCAAGTAGGGCAGCATCACAGCCCTGCCAGACACCACCCTGCACTGTCTGGCGGGCTGCCCCCAGCCCTCATGGCCGAGGTTGCCTGGGCCCACTTTCAGGCGCATTGCCTGGGTCCTGAACCAGCCCTGACCTGCAGCAGTTTCACCCCCTGGAGTTCAGCACCAAGTCCTGGATTCTCAGCTCCAGCCTCAGCGCCAGGCACCTTACACACCTTGTCGTGATCTCCTCCCAGTACCTGCCTCTGCTTTCTGCAACTGTTGCTTTTTGCAACAGTGTGGTCTTGTCTTGTCACCCTGATGAGAGCTTCTCAGAGCCTCGCTGGCCCCATCTGTACCAAGAACACTAGACTCAGGGTTTGGGGAAGCCTTTCTGGTTGCTATGCTGAGATTTAATTTTCCTCTTCCCTCTTTCTCTCTCCCTCACTCTTCTCATGCTTTTTTCCTCTCCTCTCACTCAGTCTTTCAGCTTGAGATTGATGCAGGGGCAGCCCAGAGTGGAGCCACAAGATGACACTCACTATTTTCCTTCATCAGCAAACTGGAAACGGCCTCCTCCAGCAGCCCGGAACAGATCAGAGACAGAGTCCAGGCCTGGGAAGCAGAGAGGGGTGTGCTGCCCCCACCTGCAGGCACAGCTGAGCGCACACATGCACACACACACCCTGCTTTTGCACGGAGACCATCTGCGGGAAGGCCATTACTAGTTCCACAGGATGGAATTTGTCCTCCACGCCCACCCCAAGCCAGGCCATCCTCAGCTTCCTGCCACCTGGGATCAGTGACCACCATCTGGCCCTTTCATATTTCTTAGAGAACTCAGCTGGGAGGCAGGAGAACAGATTAAAAACCAGAAGCTAAAGGTCGGTTAATCCATGTCCTGGGGACAGGCCCAGGGGACTCTTTGGAGAAAGGGGACAGGTAAGTCCCCTGCTTTTCAGCAGAGCCACAGACAGGGGTGAATGTAGGGCTGAGAGCGTCCACTGAGGAGCAGGCCTGGCTCCTGGCTGGCCCTGAGGGTGCGGGTCCCCTTACACCCTGCATCCTGGGTCCCTGCTCCCCTTACCCTAGCCTGCTGAGGGGTGACCTAAGGTCCCGCTGGCCATTCTGTGTCCCATTCCATTCTCTGCCCCGGTGAAAGGCAAGCCTACCTGTAGGACCAATCAGCTCTAGACTAAAGGGTGAGACCTGTCCCTGGCAGAGGAGGCTAAAGAGTTCCAGGGAGGGAGGTATGTGGATTTCAGAGACTGGCACAGCTTTGGATTCCAGTCATTGGCTCACAGTGTGACTCTGAGCAACTGCCTCCTTTTTCCCACTCTCTAGGCCTCAGTTTATTCATCTGCCAAACAGGGCAGGGACCTGCCTGGGCCCATGCAGTCTCCCTCAGCACGGGGGTTGGGTGGGATCTGCTGATCTCAGTGGGTCTCCATTCTTGTCCCCTCTGCAGCCCTCATGATACCTGGGGGCTCCGAGTCCAGAGGCTGAGCCCCTTGAACCTGTAGTCCATCAGCAGATGTGGATGAGCCTGGAGCAATCAGAGGATGGGTCAGTGTTTGTGTCTGGGCCTCAGACAGCAAAAGCCACCACACACTGGGATGTGGAACCACCAGTGACCTGGCTGGGCAGCACCAGGGGGTCTGGGACACCAGTAAAGGCTTCCTGGAGAGGCATCCTAGGCTGGGTAAGGCTGGGCAGAGACAGGGGGAGGGGCCACAGGGACACAAGTGGTGGTGGGCAGGGTCAAGGTGCTGGATGAGTAACAGGCTGAGATTTGGAATCAGAGCCAGGTTCAACCTGGACAAGTCCCTGTGCCACTCAGCTGGGAACAGGTGATGATACCACCTTCTCACAGCGTGGTGAGGTTGGCACGGGGTGTTTTGTGTGTGTGACTCTCACAGAACCAAGGGTCTGCTCAAGGGTCCAGTGGCTGGTATCAGCCAAACCTGCTTCAGAGCCCCATCCGATAACTCTAGGAGCACACCTGTGAGAAGCTTGGAGGCCTCCTAGCCCAAAGAGCCAACATACAGAAATGGAAACTGGGGCCCAGAGAGGCAAAGCAACCTTTCTAAGATCACACAGCCTTTTGAGGAATCAGTCAGAACAAGAGTTCAGGTGACTCATCTGTTGCCAGAGGCAACAAACTTCAGTGACAAAAATGCCTCCTTCCCACTGAATGCTAAGACAACACAGTAACATGTTACGTAGGGAGACTTGGCAACAGAACCCTCTCCCCTCTCAGCTCATCTAGGTTACCTGCTCCCCGCTGCCCTGGCCGCACGAAGTCCAAGCAGAGACAGGTTTGGTGCAGGGCTCTGGGAGGACAAAGACACATCACCCTTCTCTGGGAAGGTAATAGGCTCTGCTTGGTGAGCAGCTTGGACCTTAGAACCTTGGGGCCAGGACCCCTCCAGCCTCTCCACCTTGCAGGAGCAGCAAGCAGCAAGGCTAAGGAATGGGCCAGGTCACCCAGCCCCCAGCCCAGACCCCCAGGGCTGTGCCCCTTAACCAACCTGGGAGAGGCCCTGTCTACAGACACTTTGCCCAGAGCCTCAAGGACTCCTGTCCTGGCTCCTGTCCTCTCTCCTGTCCCCCCAGCCCCCCACCTCTGCCCTCATCTACTTGCTTACCAGGCTGAAAGGGGCCTGGAAATTGGACCCTAGCCTCCCTGGGAGTCCAGCAAGCAACCTGCAGAGCCACCTCCCAGAGGTGTGGGCTGGCTGGGAAGGGCAGGGTTAAGGCTTGTGCTGCCCTTGCTGTTAGTGTTTAACTTGGTTTCTAAAGACCATCGCAGCTCCATGAAGCAAACATTGTCCCTCCTAATGACACTGTAGCAGATCAAGGAGGGCCCGGCTCCCAGAGAGCATTAGAGAGGCCGTCCATTAGCCAGGATAGCCCATGCTGACAGCTGGAATAACCTTCCTGAGGACTGCCTGAGTGTGGGAAGAGTCTTCCTATCCCTGTCCTGGGTAAATCCCACTTGTCTCCTCTGGCTCTGACTCCAGGAGAGGACAGCCTGGGAAGACATTGAGACAGCCTGCTGTTCTGTACTCAGCCCAAGAGCCCCTGGCCGGTTCCAGCGGACCACAGTCAGCAGCCATCTACCTCAGCGCGCCCTGCTACCTCCTCTTTCTGTAGGCAATCACTGACCTGTTTTCTGTGTCTATAGATGAGTTTGCATTTTAAGAATTTTATATATTTAGAATGATAAGCCTGTATTCTTTTGCTTTCTTTTTCTTTTCCTGATTTTTATTTTTATGTTAAGTGGATCATAGTTTGTTTCTTTTTATTTGGTGAGTAGTAATGGATTGTGTGAATATATTATAATTTGTAAATCCATCCTCCTGGTGATGGACATTAGGTTATTTCAGATAAATAAAGCTTTTTTTAATTAAATAAAGCTGCCACAAACATTTGGGTATAAGTCTTTTGTGCACTTACGTATTGATTTTTCTAGGGAAAATATCTAGTAGTGGAGTGGCTGATCATAGGGCTGTTTGCATGTTTAACTTTTTACAACAACCAAACTGATTTCCAAAAGACTCATGTTGTTTCACATTTCCTTGGGCAGTGTGTGGGAGCTACAGGCCTCCCACATGCTCCCCAACATTTGCCATTGTCAGCCTCTTTACCCCTAATAATTCTCATAGATGTGTAGACATCTCATGGAGGTTTTATTTGCATTTCCTTATTAGCTATGTTAGCTTTCCCATTGTTGACAAAATACTTGACAGCTTTGAGGAGGAAAGGCTTATTTTAGCTCATGGTTTCAGTCCATGGTCAGCTGGCTCCAAGGAAGAAGCATCATGGTGGAAGGGTGTGGTGGAGGAAAGCTGCTCACCTCATGGCAGCTGGGAAGGAGAGAGAGAGAGAGAGAGAGAGAGTGGGAAAGAGCCAGAAGGAGAAGAAAGGAATAAGAATATAGCTTTCCAGGGCTGGGGATTTAGCTGAGTGGTTCCGCCTGCCTCGCAAGTGCCAAGTCCCAAGTTCAATCCCCAGAACCAAAAAAAAAAAAAAAAAATCACTGAAGCATTTACCTTTCCAGATTATGTCCCCAGTAATCTAACCCTCCAACCTGGCCGCACCTCCTAATAGCACCTTCAGCCATAAACTCATCCAAGGATGAATCCGATAATGATTATAGCTCCCCATGACCCAGTCACCTTCTGAAAGCCCCACCTCTGAACACATGAGACTTTTGGGGGACATTTTCCATCCAAACCATAGTCATGTGTCTTTTCATGTGTTCTTTTGCCATCCATATCTGGATAAGTCCTTTGTCAATCTAAAAAAAGGGTTATTTTATTTTTATTGAATTTTGGAAGTTCTTTCTCTACTCCGGATACAAGTTCTTGGTCAGATATATGATTTACAGATATTTTCTTCAAGTCTGTGGTCTGTCTTTTCCATCTCTTACCAATGGTTTCTCTTTTTTTTTTTTTTTGTACCAGGGATTGAACTCAGGACCTTGAGCTTTTGAGGCAGGTGGCAGCACCACTGAGCTAAATCCATGGGCCTTACCACTGTTTTTTGAAGCCTAAAATGTTTTAGATTTAGTGAGGTTGCCATTCTGACCTTGCTGCCCATTATGCTAATTATGACACTTGCTTCTGATGGTTCTGGCACCCTCTCAGCCTGGTAGCCTTGTTCTAGAACAGTCTGCTAACATCAGCCCTTGTCACATTGCTAAGCCACCACTGAGCTTCTCAATGTTGCTGGTGCCACAGGTACCAGAGCTTTCCAGGCCTCCCTGAGGGGGACAGACAACAGGTGATTTTCTGGCCATGCACAGTACTCCCTTTCCAGCATGCCACTCCTCTGAGCCTCCTGATTCCTTCCTTCTTCCTCAGCCAGCCAAGTGCTTCTGATATTGCAACTCCATTTAATGTTGGTGGCTTTTCTCATGATTTAAAGAGCCAGCCCAGTGGCACAATAAACCCACCTCCAGCCAGTCACAGTGTTCAATCCAGTGTCACAGGACAGTGTCTCTATATTTATGTCACACCACCCAGCTTTATGTTCTGGCCCCCTTCATCCAGTGCCCTCAAGACCCACTTGTGGCTGACTTTCCTGATTCCTGCTGCCCATGTCACCTGGTCTTGCAGCTTCTTGGATATATAATCTCTCTTTCTCCTTGGTCTACCTGCTATTGTGGTTGTTGGTTTATGATGAGATTTGAGTCTAGTTATGGGTCTGGAGGCCAAAAGGAGATGTTGGGAAGATCCTGATGAAGGCAAGGATTCTTTTGTAAGGCTCCTTCTCATCTGAAACGTCTACATGGTCTAGCATGAGGGCTTTTATCTTCCAGTGAGGGGCAATGGCCGCTTCTGCAGGCTGAGGGCGTTCACAGGAATTTGGATTCCCAAGCCCATCCACCCTGATATCCCACCCCAAGTAATAGGCTTGTACTCTTTTCCTTTCAGGGCCCTGACCTCAGTACAGAATTCTCATCTAACAGAATCCATCCTTCTGGAAAGCTCTGCCCTGCCAGGAGATAGATGTCCCTCCTGTGCTGCCAGGAGGCTTTCTGGTCTACCTGGGCTTCAGGTTGCTGACTACGAGACCTGAGTCTATACTTCTCATTTTAATGTCTCAGTGGTACTTCATGAGAGCCCCTAATCCCATTTCCTTACCCACCTCCATACTTCTCAGTGCCAGGGACTTTGGCCTAGCCAGTGCTCCCCTCCTTTTTATCTTCTCACCATTCCCTGGGGGTGAAGGTTGGAACAATAGCACTACTGTTTCATGCCAGGGGCTATTGCTGCTCCTGGCACCAGGGAAAAGGGATCCATCCTCACAGTTTCACCTTAGTGTTTGCTTCCTGGGGCTGCTTCCATGGTCAGTTAGCTGAGCTGGATCTCCTGGGAGCAGAGCCTGAGCTCAGGGTCCTTGGGGCAGTGGTTTATTGCGAAGAGGAGAATGTGAGGAGCAGGGTGGGACAGAAGAAGTTCAGCAAAGGTGAAGCCCACAGAGAACTGGAGGCTGCCTGATGAATACCTGAAAAGCTGAAGGATGTTGGGCTGTTGGTTTGGGAAGGGTGTGAGGCTTCTCCAGAGAAATAGAGCCCATAGGATGTATAAATATGTATGTATTAAGGAATTGACTCAGGAATTATGAAAGCTAGTGAGCCCCAAATCTGTAGTGTGTGTAGGCAGAGACCCAGGAGAGCTGATGGTGCAGGTGAAATCTGAAGGTGAAGTTTGCTGGAGGATTTCCTCTTCCTCTTTTTGTTCTAGTCGGGCCTTCAACCGCTTAGATGAGACCTATCCTATTAGGGAGGGCAATCTGCTTACTCAAAATTCATTGAAGCAAATGTTAAGACATCCAAAAACATCCTTCCAGTTGTCATATAAAATTACACAGCAGGATACATGGGGCTGGAATCTAAAACCTGGAGATGAGAGGGTCAGCTCAGGGCAGAGCAGAGAACTGCTCAGGAGGGCCTGGTGCCCGGCTGAGGAAACAGGGCACTATTGTCATGCAGACAGACCTGTTGCCCTGGAATGCTCCTCATTGGGGAGCATGTTTTGTGCCTGGGAGACAGAGGAAATGAGGTGTGGAGGTCAAGAAGGGGCTCCAATGTCATCGAGGCTGGACAGAGTGCCATTTGGGGAAGGCAATTGTCAAGTTCTTGAGGTGGCACTAAGGTCACGGGGTACAGATGCACGGCCATGCCTGGTCCACTCCTGGATCCTCCAATGTATCCTGGCACAGCCACGCCACTCTCGTCACCAGGTGTTTGGGGAGGTGACCTGTCAAGGCCAGCTCAGGCCTTGACAACTGGGCTCACATGGTGGCTTTGCAACTTGGTAGCCAAGTGTCCTTGAGAGGCCACTTCACTGTGTCATCTCAGTTTCTCCTGACAGATGGAGATCACCATAGGTGTCGTGGCGATGAAATAAAACCACCATAGGGTTCTGCTCCAAACAGAATCATTAGGAGTTTGTCAGGAGTCATTAGACTCCAAGTGGAAGAGGCACAAACTCACTTAAGATAAAAATAAGCAAGAAAACAAAAAGGAATTTACTGGCTCACATACATAAGACAAGGAGGTCAGGTCTGGCTGGATCCAGGCTCCTAACTCTAGTTTGCAGAGTATCTTGTTGCTCTCTGCAGGCTTGACTTTTCCTAATGGGCACCCAACCCCAGGGTCTTACTCTACCAGCCTGGCAACTCTGCACAGCGAGAAGGCATATGATTCACCCATTTTAAAAGCAGAATTCAATGATTTTTAGAAAATTTATAGAGTGAGAAACCAGGATGACAGTCAGTTTTAGGGCATTTCAGCCCTTCAAAGAGATCTCTCGGGCCAGTTTGCATCCAATCCCTGTCCCCACCTCCAGCCCTAGAGGACTACTAATCTACCTTCTGGCTGTATGGATTTGCTTTTTCTGAATGTTCCATATAAATGGAATGATGTAATATGTGATCTTTCGTGCCTAGCTTTAAAAAAAAAACCTAGCGTATTTTTGAGAGGTATCCATATAGTAACATATATCAGTACTTTGTTTATTTTTATTGCTGAGGTGTATTCCACTGGATACAGCATGTTCTGTCCATCCATCCACCTCTTAATGGACTAGTTTTTGGGAGATTGTTTCAAGTTTAGGACCATTATGAATAAACTGCCATGAATCTTGGTGTAGAAGTGTTTGTGCAGATGTATATTTTCACTTCTCTTGAGTATATGCTTTAGGAGTAAAATCACTGGGCTCTATAGTAAGTTTATGTTTAACATTTTAAGAAATTGCCAGATTGTGCTTGAAAGTGGTGATATCATTTTATATTCTCACCAGCAATGTATGAGGTTTTCATCTTCATGTCCTCACATACTTGCTAACACTTATTGTCTGTTTGCTTATAGCTCTTATAATGGCTGTAAAGTTGTATCTCACTGTAGTTTTGTGTTTCTGTAATTATCTGAGATCAATGAATCCTCTGCCTAGAAAGGCAGCAGTGAGGGCTAAAGTGAAAGAGACAATAGAGACTTAGGTCATTTTAAGTATATGGGGGTCTGGGAGGTCAGTGCCTGAGAGAAGGCAAAAGGCACCCTGAGCTTGCCACTATTTATTGGGTTCATAGGGAATATCAGATGACTCAGAGGGAGCGATAATCCTAAATTCATGAGGATCTTATAATCAGAGGGAATATCAGATGCCTTAGAGGGTAATCCTATGATGATGAGGACCTTATGCTGATGAGGATTTTAGGGTGATGAGGAGCTTATGCTGATTAGGAAGGTAAGATGAGCAAAAACATTCTTACAACAGTAGGTGGGATGAGTTAAGCTGATAAGGAATTTGTCCCTCCCCAGGTGAAAACTTTCTCCTTTTGTATTACTACTTGGTT